AAAAAAAAAAAAAAAAAAGCCTGGTCTAGGCAAACATGTGGAACTAGAAAAGATAGGGTATCTTTGAGGGTCAAGTAGATTCAAGGGATGGAGTCTCAACATGTAAATGTGAATCATTCTCCAGGAGCACTGCAGTCACTCCTGTTGTTGTTATGTGCCATTGAGTCAGACCTGACTGATAGCGACCCCTCCTTGGGTTGCTGAGGCAGTATCACTACAGAAGTAGAGTGCCCCATCTTCCTTCTGAAGGGTGGCTGGTGGGTTTGAACCACCAGCCTTCTGGTTAGCAGTCAAGTGCCTTAGGCACTATGCTACCAGAGCTCCTAGCAGGGCACATATGCAAGAGAATTTGATTAGAACTCATTAGAACCATGCTCCTTTGGGGTGAACTAGAGAAGAGTCTGTGATTCTGAATAAATAGAGTAAATGTGCACCAAATGTCCTATCTAGAAACTGTTCGGAACATACCATCAGTATTAGTTATTTTTCTCTGTTTCAAAAGAGTTTTGTTAGCAAGTATTTGCTTTAGAAAGTTTGCATTCAGTGTATGGGATCAAATTGTTAACAGCAACTCAAAAAGCTAGATAGGAAGCTGAGGGGAGAAATGAGTTTACATCAAAAAGGAAGGAATAAATCTGAAAAGGAGAGTGAGAATGGCTGCACAATGTGAAGAATGTGATTAATGTTGAAGTATTATATGTGTAGACACTGTTGAATGGATGTATGTTTTGCAATGTAAATTTTCAACAACAAAAATAAAGACCACGTGTGTATTATCAACATCAAGTTAAAGATTTCATACTTCGTATATTTTTAAGTGCAAAATGAATGTGTTTTCTTTTTACATATAGACACGGGGAACATGGAGGTTCTGCACCTATATGGAAGCAAGGACCAGAAGCAGCAGTGGCTTGAGCCTCTTCTTCAAGGGAGAATTACCTCCTGCTTCTGTATGACAGGTAAATGGCAAACCTCCACTCTTCCCTTGTGGAGCCAGTTATCCAGGAGTGAGTATGGATGAGTTGAAGAGACGTGCCATGTGGCATTATTTTTCAAGCAAATTTGCCTATTTCCAGAAATGTGATTATGTTTGCTGTTTTATGAGAGCAAACATGTTTATGCGAGCCTAGTTTTAAATTTTTTGGCACTTTAAAATGTACAGAATACAGTTGTCCACTTTTGAGAGGAAAAAACTAGATCTTGTTTTCTAAATTAGCCTGCTTTAGGCATTAACAGCATGGTAAAACTAATTTCATGATCTTTTGACTTGCATTTCTAAAATTGCAATCTGTAGATATTTAAGATTTCCTTTGCCCTCACATGGAGAGTATTCACCTTTGTAATAATTTTATTTTTATTCTTACAAAATAATCAGCTCTTCCATAAACCTGTACAAATAGAACCTTCATTAGTGTTGGACACATGGCTCAAATACAGTCATGTGGGAAAATAAAACTAGGAAAATGTTAATAAAACTGGGCTTAGAACCATTTATACAATTAAAAACTCAGAGTCATTGTTTCGTAGTTGAGTTTAGAATTAGATGAAATTCTATCTGGCTATATATTTTTTTCTTTTTAAAGATCAACTTTATTGAGGTATAATTCACACACAATAAAATGCACTCATATTGACTATGTAGATGTTGTTGTTGTTGTTATGTGCCATCGAGTAGGACCTGACTTACAGTGACCCCTCCTTGGGTTTCCGAGGCAGTATAACTACGGAAGTAGATTGCCCAACCTTCCTTCCGAGGAGTGGCTGGTGGGTATGAACCACCAGCCTAAATTTCATAAATGTGTACACCCATTTAACCATCACTACACTCAACATACAGAACATTTCCATCAGCCCCTGGCCATAATTTTTATGTGTTTTCAATAATAGCCAAATTTACTGTCCTCTATGATATTGCAAGGCTGGCGGTTCAAACCCAAGAGCCACTTCTCAGGAGGAAAATTGGGCTATCTACTTCTGTAGAGATACCACCTTGGAAAACCAAGGAGGGGTCACTATGTGTTGGCAAAATGATTCAACAGCAGTGAGTTGGTTTTTTTTTTAATGATATTGCATAGAGAAGCCTTGGTGACACAGTGGTTCAGTGCTCAGCTAACTTTGAACCTACCAGCCACTGTGGGAGAAAGATAGGGCAGTCTGCTTCTGTAAAGATTTGCAGCCTTGGAAACACTATGGGACAGTTCTACCCTGTCCTGTAGACTCAGGAATCTAACTCTACAGCAATAGGTTTGGTTTTAAGATGATAATTGCATTGGCTCTTAGAATAGCACCGCTGGTCTCCATTTAAGTGAATAAGAGTCATTTACTAAACATCTACAGTATAATGTGTTATCTACAAAGCAACAACTAACCAAAAACCAAACCCACTACCACAAACTCAGTTCCAACTCATAGTGATCTCCATTGGGTTTACAAGGCTATGAATCTTTGTGGAAGCAGACTGCCCCATCTCTCTTCCACGGAGCAGCTGGTGGATTCAAACCACTGATTAGCAGCCAAATGCCTTAACCACCAGAGCTCTTTACAAAGCATTAACTGGGGACTCCAAAATAAGTACACAGCCCCCTTCTCAAGGAACTGGGGGCCTCTAGTTTTAGAAATAGAGAAATATCTGAAAGACTAACCAAAAGAGCAACATATTAACAAGTATGGATTAGTATGGTCCAGAGCAGACTTGGGAGTGCTTAAATGCCATGGGGGATAGCAGTCATTTAAGGTGCCCCATGGCAAACTTTGTGAAGTGCTGAGCAGGCTTTGAAGAATGCAAATATAAATTGGTGAAAGGATTCCTGATGAAATTTGCAAGACACAGTTAGGAATTGTTTACGATAGTAAGGTATATAGTGAGGAATTCTGTCTTGCCAAGATTTCCATTGTGGAAAGTATAGAAGAACAATTTTTATCTGCTTTTGATGACTGAAGAGACTGAGTGAGTTGTATCCAAAGTCACATGTCAACAAGGAACCCAAGAACATAACTCAGCAGAACGCTGCTACTCATTCTTCTAGAATAGTTCATTTATTCTTTCAATGCACATTTATTGAATACCTACTGTGTGTAGTCATGGAGGACCTGGATAGAATGGGGGAAGGATAAGAAAACGAAAAAAACATGAATGCTTCTGCCCTCAGAGAGTTCACATTGCTTCTTCAAGTCTCTTTTGCAAACTGATGATAGCCGCCTGCTAGTAAATTCAGCCTTTGCTTATTTATAGAGCCCAATGTAGCTTCAAGTGATGCCACCAATATTGAAACCAGCATCCAACGAGATGGTGATAGCTATGTCATTAATGGCAAGAAGTGGTGGAGCAGTGGTGAGTGTTCAGAATAATTTTTTCACCAGATGCTATGCTAGAATAATACTGTTATACATAGTTATTAATTATCATAATTCTTTAAATTCTGCCTTTGAAAGCATTTTCAAATTTGGAAAAGTAGGTTTTTTTTTAATTTTTATTGTTATTTGGGTGAAAGTTTACAGAGCAAATTATTCAATACAGCAGTTCATATATACTGTGTCTCATGACATTGACTGTAATCTCCCACAATGAGACAGCTCTTTCCACTTCCTCCCCATAGTTACCTCTTCCCTGTGTCCTTTTCTCCCATGATTCCTGCCCCTCCCCCCAGCTGTCTCCCTGTGCATACACAGCCCTTCTACTCTCCCATGACTGATTTCTCCGAGTGTACCTACCTAATGTAAATGTTCAGCTCACATGCCTGTCTTTTGACTGGAAAGCACAGGAGTGGGTTCTATTCTAGACCTGAAGGGCAGCTAGGGCCCATTGTCTCAGGGCTTCCACCAGGATCTATCAGACCAGCAAACCTGGTCCTTTTTTTTTTTTTTTTAATTTGTTTTTTGAAAAGTAGTTTTAAAATAAAGTCTTGATAAGGTGATCTTTAGTTTAAGAGCAGAAAACACATCTTTTTGTTTTGTTCAGTTCATGAGAGTTCAAATTCATATTGTTGTTGTTGTTGTTATATGCCTTCAAGTCAGCCCTGACTCACAGCGACCCCTCCTTGGGTTTCTGAGGCAGTATCACTATGGAAGTAGGATTGTCCATCCTTCCTTCTGAGGAGTGGCTGGTGGGTTTGAACCGCCAGCCTTCTGGTTAGCAGTCAGGTGCCTTAGCCACTATGCTACCAGAGCTCCTCAAATTCATATTAGTGTGTACTATTTTCAATCAATGCAATTTCTATTAAAATTTAATTTTAATAGGGACATGGTACACAGAGGATAATAATTTACATTTGATTGTAAGAAGATCAGTTGTACCCATTATTGAAAATAATTTATTATAATAGTTTCATTGCTTAAAAATACAAATATTTGAATGAAAAGTAAGACACTTTACACATAGGCTAATACCTTGTTTAGTCACCACTTAGTAATAGGTTCACATAAATGGATGAGATCTTGAAGATGTTATAAAAATTAGAACCTAGAGAAATATGATAATCTGAGGATTAATTCTATCATATAAATGATAAAGCTAATATTTATCAAGAAATCAGTTATTACTAAAGAAAATCATTACCATGGAAATAGACTTTATCTTTAGAAATTTGCCAGGGTATAAGAAAAAGGCCAGAAAAAGCTTGGGTGTATTTATCTTGTTGTTTATTATTCTTTCTAGGATTTTATGAAATCACAAATTAAGAAACAGAAAAAAAGTTATTTTTTTGCTACATAGTTATTTAAATACTAAAATAACACAAGGAAATGGTTCTTATATTAAAATTTAGATAATTAAAAATAGCTATAAATGCCCCTTAGGAGCTCTGGTGGCATAGTGCCTAAGGAATTTGACTGCTGACCAGAAGGCTAGTGGTTCAAACCCACCAGCTACTCCTTAGAAGGAAAACTGGACAATCTACTTCTGTAGAGATACTACCTCAGAAACCAAGGAGGGGTCACTATGAGTTGAATTGACTCAACAGCAGTGAGGGTTTTATATATATATATATATATATATATATATATATATATATATATATATATATCCCTTAACATAAGTCTCTTCATTACTCTATTTTAGACAGCCTAGCCTGAAGCATAGTTCTTGGTTATGTATGCCTGTTGCTACTGTTTTCTTGTATTATTTATTTCCATTTTCATGATTGTACATTTATTGCCTTGTTTCCTTTCTCTGCCTCTACTCTTACTATTCTCCCACCCCCTACCCCTTTTTTGCTGTAAATGGCAACCACAGTGGTTGAGATTTGAATTTCAGAGTAATGCAGATGTTTTATCTGAGGGGGAAGCATCATTCATGTGTAACTAAGAGGAAGACAGAGTTTTACATTTAAATGCTTAATGTACTGGTTGGCTCTGTAGGACCTTCAGAATCGAAAGGAATCTCCTCCACATTTTGTCTCTGTCTTCTCCAGTACCCATAAGTCTTGGCCACTTTTGTAATGTAGTTTTTAAAAGAGGCTCCCATGAAAACGTAGAGGATTGGGTTGAGGCAGCTATGGAAGAGTGCAATGCTCTCCGTGACTTGGATGGCAACATCCATGCGCTTGCTCATGTCGCAGTCAGTGATCAGGGAGTAGATGATGTCTATGGCTTGGCAGAACTTGACAATATTGTAAGGCAGCTGAGTGGCAATGAAAACTGCAACCACTGTGAGCAGAACTTTGAGGGGCCTAGATTTTTTAATGTTTGGTGTCTTGATGAGTGTCCTTGCTGTGATAAAGTAGCAAACTCCCATAATAAGAAAAGGCATGATGAACCCTATGCAGATTTCCAACATTTGAATCGCTGCTTTCATTGATGTCCCTAGGTGATATGGAAAGATGGGAATGCACCTAACCTTGTCATTTACTGTATTAAAAACCAGCTGGGGTATACTCAGCAAAATGGCAGCCATCCAGACACAGGAACAGATGATCCAGCATGGTCTCCCTGCTCCTGATTGACTTGGAGCTTTAGTTACTGCTACATATCTGTCTATGCTGATACAAGCCAGAAACTGCATTCCAGAGACAAAGTTTACTGTGTACAAGGCTGATGTTACTTTGCACATTATTTTCCCTAAAACCCACCCATGAACTGCATTAACTGCCCAAAAAGGCAGAGTGAATAGAAGGAGTAAATCCGCCACAGCCAAATTCAGGATGTACACATCTGTTTTGGTTCTCTGTTTCTTATAATAGGCATAAATTGCCACTACTATGGAATTTCCTGCAAGTCCAATGATGAAAGCTATTGTGAAGAAGGCAGGCAAGAATACTTTGGCAAATTTTCTGACCTCTTCTTTTATACAGATCACTTCATATTGACTGTAGTCATGAGTGTCGTTCATTTCATTTTCCTCATAGTAGTAGTCTGTTGACTGGTTGTGTCCCAAAGCCATGGCACCAATCTAGATGGCAAAGATATTACAGGCTATTAGATACTCATTTGAATATGACTTAAAAGGAACCATGTTTTATCCAGCACACGTTTGTTCTTTCACTACAAAATAGATTGTTGCTGTACCTTATGTGAATATGAAGCTGGCATTCTTAGAAACTCTTTGAAGGGAGCCACACTGGAATATATCTTCAATATTATTCATTTTGCTGTTACAAGTCTGTGTGCAGGAGCTTGGCTTTACCCAGGGAAGATAAAACAAATACTCTAAGGAGTTACCCAAATCACTAACCCCTAAATAAAAACAATAAGGGCTTTTATGTTAAAAATAGTTTTTAAAATATGAAAATTCAATTGGATATCAACTAAAAAGAATCAAAAAATTGTTATAGTTTTTCCATAAACACTTTTGTGCTTTTTGTGGATTGCATCTGCTTTATAAATTTATCTTCATTTTTATAAATTATTATAAATTTATTTAAAATAAGCTACATAAATTATCTCCACATTTACACTGATTTTTACTAGTTAGTTTTTATAAAATAAGGCCTTCTTTAGTTATTTTCCTTCCCAAATTTTTACTACTTGCTTATTGTATACTCTTATTTGATAGTATCGAAAAGCCTCTTGTCATCCAAGCCATAGCTTGCATCATTCTTGACTTCTCTTATTAGCCCTATTTCAAATCAGTTCCTAAATTCTGACTTTGCCATTCAAATAGGTCTTGAATCTGCCTCCTCCTTTTAATCTGTACTCTCACTGTCCTACTTTGAGTCATCAATGCCTCTCCCCTGCCTACTACAGTATCTTCCTAACTCGTATCCTACTGTTCTTATTCCTCCCCATTGCTACCTCTAAAAATGTTTTTCTTGTTGCCACCAGAATGTCCTATCTCTGAAATGCCATTCTGTCACTCTACTGCTTAGCTCTGCAGTGACCTCTCTTTACCTTAAAGACACAGTCCAAGCTCCTTAGCATGGTTCTCAAGGCTCCCTCTGTGATTTGGTCCCACCCAGGGCTCCTGCCACCTCTCCCTGTGCTGTGCTCCACACACAGACAGCAACAGTACTGAGTTGATGGCAGTCTCATAGCACACACTAAGCTGCAGCACATATCTACATCATGGCTCATTCTGGTCCCTTTATTTGGCACTCTGTTTCCTGCCAGTCCCTTGAAAGGCCAACTCCTACTCAACTCTACTTGGATGTCACCTCGGAAAGGCTTTCCTCATCCGGAGTTATCTCTGCAGCTCAGAGAACTGACCACATCTCATGGGAAAGATGTGATTCTCTGACTACATTTTCCCTCTAGGCTCTAAGTTCCCCAAGGATATGTACTGCTTAATTTCTGTTTGTAACTTTAACATTTGCAGAGTGCCTGGCACATGCTAGATGCTCAGTAAATATTTGTCCAATGGAAAGTTTTGCCAGCAGGTATAATCTAGAATGGATAGATGACATGTCAGGATTTTCCTGTCTCAACACTAAGTTATTTTAACTATGCACATCCATAGTTTCAAGACAAACTTTACAGAATTCACAAGTTTCAAAATGTATATAATAATGACTTTTCAATGTTTTTCTTATAAGTACTGAATTTTTACTTTGTTTTTAACCTTTCTATGTTCCTTTAACTGTTTTTGTCCTTTGAAGATTCTCAAATATTCTTATAGAATCAACAGTGAAAATGTTATTTTTTAAAACACTATACCAACTTACACTGTTTCAAAAGAGTGTTCTTATACTTGTTAGAACCTTCTTGAATGAGTAAAGCAACGTAAAAAAGTTCCTTGAGGCAAGATATTAGATAGAAGATCTGTTTTCCTTAGAAATTAAAAAAAAAAAAAATCACTGCCATCAAGTGGGTTCCGACTCATAGCGACCCCTCCTTGAGTTTCCAAGGCAGTACCACTACAGAAGTAGATTGCCCTATCTTCCTTCCAAGGAGTGGCTTGTG